AAACACAAAACCCCAAAACCCCAAAACCCCAAAACCCCGCAATCATTTCTTTAAAAGAATTTAGAGAAGTAAATTTGAAAATAATATTGCTAGGATTTATAAAGAATATAGTTAATAATTTCTGAGGTTATAGTAATATAGTCAATATAGTAAATTGACAGAAGCTCAGTCACCTCTTAAATCTCATATTTATAATGAGATCAAGTTATGCTCAAAATTTTATTTCAACACTACTGGCGTTTATTCTTACTACTTCATCTTCTAGTCTTTGCTCATATTCTATCATCTGAGTTCTTGAAGGAGATGTAGTTACAGGAATTCTCTTTGATAAATGATTTTCAGTAACTCCTTCAGACAAATTAACATTCATCATTGACTACCCTTCATCTTCTTATTGTTCTATTGACTAGTTCTGATCAGTATTAATGTTCTCTCTTTATTCAATCTATTCTACTTGCTTTTCTTGATCTACCTTGGTCTTTTCTTTTTCATCTTCTTCCTTGCTCAATAATTTTGTGCCGGTTGAATTTAGTAAAATTGATCCAATAGAGGCACAGATAACGATTGAGAATATGGCAATAGTTTATTAAGCATTAGAGTAATCAAAGTATTCTTAATAATTAGCATTCTTTGGGAATTTTTTTACCTCATTTAAAAGAAGAGCACTCAAGGCAGCTTAAACAGTTGCCTTTCCAATCCAAGTAATACCCATAAACAATCTTTCTTTTAAATTTAATGTTTTTGAATGAGTCACAATGACGACTACTATCACTCTAACAGTGACACCGATTATTATCATTAAAGCTCCATATCCTAAATCGCTAGATCTAATCTAGCTGAAAAGAAGCGATCCTCCAACAGTTCCAAAGAGGCAAGGCTGAATAAAGAACCAGAACCAGGCGATTTGCTTGGCAGGTTTGTCTTGGCCCCATATTCTAAAGTTAGTATATCCAAAGAACAGCGCCGCCATGTACTTTGTATCTTTTGTTCCAGCATATTCTTCCATAATAACAAAGGACATAGCTCCAACAACACAGAATGCTAGCTTTGAATAGATTCTTATTGTAGGGTTTTTAATGAATTTAAAGAACCAACCTAGTAGACCCATTGCTACACCGATAACTAATGCTACAATGAAAGAAACAAATAGCATTCCAATAGCAAGACCCATACTTTAGCCAGAATTAAAACCAGCATCATTTAAAACGATTGTTTTGCAGATACTGAAGCAAATAATACAGATTATGTCATCAAAAGTTCCAGCTGCAATCAGTGTTCCTGCGATGTTTTTCTTTTTACCATAACCTCTGTCATTTAAACTCATCAGCCCAGGAACTATAATACTAGGACTAATACATGCGAGGTTATATCCAAGGACATAACCCATTGCAAGGGGCATATCAAATAGTCCTTAGGCCATGAAGGCTACAACGGTTGCCTCAAAAAGTTAGGGTATAAAAGATAGGAAAACCACCATCAAACCTTTACCTGTAAAAGAAACCTGTAAACCTCCTCTAATAAGTAAAATGCAGAGACAAAACCCTCTGATCCAGCCGGTCCAAGGTTGTGGATATGGGATCATTTTTTCTCCAAAGTAGTTTCTTACAATGCATCCCATTATAATCATTGCAATCAAGGGAGGGATTACTATTCCTCTGATAATAGGCTTCAAGTGATAACCTTTGAAGCATAAAAATGCCGGGAAATGGAATCCACCCAGTAGACCTAAGGCAATGCCAGCAAGTCCTGAGACAAAAATCAATAGAATTAGAGCCCCGAACTATTCATTCTCAGGATAGGGCGAGTATGTGTTGGTTTAACCTGCCATAAATTAATAAATATTTTATATTAGATAAAATTTTAATTCAATGTAGCAATATTTATTTAAATCTAATATCCTAATTATATCTTATAGTCTATCTAAGGGGTTTTGGGGTTTTGGGGTTTTGGGG